TGATGTCTTTATTTTTACTTTTTCTTTTATTCTTTGTATGTAACGAGATAGGTGTACCTGCCCGGTTCTAATAAAAAACAACTGGTCTTAAGCTTGGAAATTTGTGGTTTTGAAAGAAATTAACATTAATCGATAGATGTGGAATTTCAAACGGGCTTATACATTTGACCTTGTGCGACCATATAGGATTTGTATTTGAAAAATCATATTTTACAGTCATGATTGAACTTATCTGATCCTATATGATCAGGTTGCTACGGTAATAATGTATCTGTCTTGTAAGTTTCGTGTAATCAGAATGTGAATGTGGGTGTGCGTGTCGCGTCTGCATAGAGACATGCAGGGCAGGGAGTTTTGGTAACCTGTAACCTACCCTGTCCTTGCCTGCAGGAATCTTTTTGCATAATTTATTCGGACTCCAGGTTTGTTTCGCAAAGTTCGGTTGTCCTATTATCATTACCGACGAAGATTAATAAGAAGTAAATAAAATACTAGAAAAATTCTTGATGAAGATCCTGTTTGAAATGAGTAGACATTTATTCAGAACACAACTAGATCTGACAAAACGATATTCGTTCTAGAAGAATCTGTACTCAGGTCAAAGATGTACGGCGGGAAACGGCTGGATCCCGTAAAATTCCTGCCAATTCCTGAAAGCAGTATTCCGAAATCCGATCCGGCATCCGGATCTGTTAGGATCTGCCATCTATACAATATAGATGGACGATCCTCCCTCCCATACATTATATATGATATATAATGTGATATAAGATACAGATAAAATCATCATCAGAGAGATCCGGTTGTTTTTTTTTGTTTCTTTTCTCTTGTTGTTGTTGTTTTACAGTTGTAGTTGTTACTGTGTTTATTATAATTTAGGTTCTCGTTCTATTATTTTCAAATAAAGAGAGCACGGATCCTAACAATGGTGCACTAGCCGGTGTTATTATTAAAAATTAAAAATCCCGCGTGGCAGAAATATCAAACATCAAGCGAGCACAACACATTCATGAACATTAAATCTACTCGTTCTACAAAAGATTTTACACAAATGTCTATTAACTCTTTTATTCTACCAACAAACAAAGAAAAATCGATGACGTCTGCATCGGATAACATTGAGAATATTAATGTGGATTCTACACAATCAAAAAATGATATGACCAAGGTTGATCAAAAATTAAATGATCAATCCGATTATGTGCTTGGTCATGATCCACATGATCAGCATTTAATTCAAATCGATAAACAAAATTCTTTACTTTTTCAATCAGAATACCGTTCATTACCGAAATTTGATGGTGCTGGAAATGCGGAACATTGGTTAAAAAACATTATTGACAGATTCGATTCATTACAAATTACATCTATTGAACGATATGAATTAATTCCTAATGTATTGATTGGTGATGCACTTATTTGGTATGCAAAACAACAAGATCATATGCCAACATTTATTTCATTTATAAAAAAATTTCTGCAATATTACGGTCATCAAGACATAAATGAAAAATTATCAACAACATTTATTTCATCTTCTACGCAAATGCAACAACTCCAATCTACTGATTCTAAAGAAATTGTTTTGGATTCTCTTCGAAATCAAATGTTAATCAATAGTCTTGAAAAATTACCGAAATTCACAGGTAAATCAAAACAAAATGTATCTAAATGGTTACGAGAAATTCAGCAATCACTGCATATGTTCAAATTATCAGATGAAGAAAAATTATTTTTTATACCTTCATGTTTAGAAGCTGATGCCAAAGATTGGTTTTACGATAATATGCATTTATTTTCAACATGGACTATATTTATACAAAAATTACTCAAAACTTTTGAATCATCTGGGAAAGCTGATATTTCATTTAATCGATTGCGTCATTATGAACAAGGTATTAACCAAGATGTTCGTCAGTATTATTTCGAAATTATGAAACTATGTAAGGAAGCCAATCCATTTATGGACGATGCTAGTAAATTACAGTATTTGAAAGATGGTTTAAAACCAACATTACGTTTTGATATCTTATTAAAAAATCCAACAAGTCCTGAAGAATTTTTGGAATATGCCCAAAAAATTGCTGAACTTAAATCATTAGATGAACAACAAGACGTTATATATTGTTCAACCGAAGAGAGTTTAACAACATCACCATCTGTTTCTTTACCGCATCGAAATAATAAATCACGATTAAATAATCAACATTTTCCAATGTCACAAAGAAATTCAAATAAAGTGTATGATAAAAATAATTATGTTAACAATAGATCGTTTCAATCAACTACAACAAATGCAACAACATCGGATCAATATCGTTCAAATAATATACCAAAACCACCATATCAATGTTATAAATGTGGTGGTGTTGATCATTATATTTATGATTGTCCACATTTTTGTCAAGGGAGTTAACCAAGGATGGTGTTAACTCCTGTATCTCTATAACAAATCCATCACCAATTTTTGTCTTAGCTAAAGTTAATCAAATACCAATGAAAATAATGTTCGATTCAGGATCAACAACATCTTTTATCAATAAAGCAGTCTTGATTCGTACAAGACATTTACCTATAAACTATAATAAACATTATTATTTAATGGCAGATGGTCATACAACATTTGAAGTTATGGGTACAGTCAGAATTTTTATTGAATTAAATCATATAAAAACAAATCAAATAGTTGGTGTTGTTGATTCTTTATGCACAGATTGTATACTAGGTATGGATTATATTAACAAATATAAGGTTAATCTTAATAATAAACAAAAACAAGTTCAAGTTCATACAACTTTCCACACAATTCGAATACCAATGGAAAATCAATCAACAAAATTTCGAACTATTTCTCGTTTATTAAAATCTGAATATTTATATCCATATCAAGAAAAGCGCTTGCAAATTATTTCACAAGTGTCTTCAGGAAAATTATCATTTTCTCCTGCTTATCATGTTACTAAATCACGAGGTTTAATTATATCAGATTCATTAATTTATATGAAAAATCATACAGCTTGGATCTCTGTTTATAATTCAACAGCAAAGCCTTGTTATTTAAATAAAAATATTATCATAGGTATTGTTACACCTTTGACATTTAGAAATATTTCTACTCTTTTAGATCAAAATACAAAAGACAAATTTAATGACAATAAATTAACATCTTCAATATCAACAAGTGAACAACATATTACATCTTTACTTAATCATATATATGATCTCCCACAAATTAATGAATTACAAACTATTTTAAAAAAGCATATTTCTTTATTCGATACATCACAAACAACCATCGCACAAACATCAATACCTCATGTTATTTGTACTGGTGATAATCCATCGATTTCTTCAAAACCGTATCCTCAAACTGTTGAAAAACAAAATGCTACATTTGAAATTATTCAACAGATGTTACGAAACAAACAGATACGAGCCTCAAATTCTCAATATTCATCACCAATATTATTGATAAAAAAACGTGATGGTTCTTATCGTTTTGTTGTGGATTATCGGAAATTAAATCAAATTACAATTCAAGATAAATTCCCATTACCTAATCTTGAACAAACAATTCAAATGGTGGGAGGTCATGAATATTATTCCAAATTGGATCTTCGTTCAGGTTATTTTCAAATCCCTATTCGTGAAGCGGACAAACATAAAACTGCATTTATTACTGTCCATGGATTATACGAATTCAATGTTTTAGCTCAAGGATTAAAAAATAGTCCTCCGTCATTTCAACGTATTATGTCAAATTTATTATTGCCCTGTAAAACATTTAGCTTAGTATATCTTGATGATATATTAATTTATTCTGATTCATTTCAACAGCATCTTGATCATTTAAATCAAGTTTTAACAATCCTCAATAAACATAAATTTCAACTTAATCCACAAAAGTGTGAATTAGTTCGTACAACCATTGACTATTTAGGTCATACAATTAGTAATCAAGGTATTAAACCACTTCAAGAACGCATTCAAAAAATTCTGGACATTCCACAACCTGTCTCCTTAAATCAAGCAAATGCTTTTATTGGTGCTATTGGATGGTATCGTAAATTTATTAAAGATTATACAAAAATTGCTGCGCCAATATTGGCAGTTACTAATCTAATGAAGAAACATAAATTTAAATTTAAATGGGATTCTTCACAACGTGAAGCTTTTGATAAATTAAAAATGGCTATTACCTCCGAACCATTATTTTTAAATTATCCCGATGCTCATGCACCTTTAATTTTGGCAACTGATGCGTCAGATTATTGTGTTGGTGGTGTTTTATATCAAGAAATAAATGGTGAACGTAAAAATATTTATTTTTACTCACAAATGTTACCGAAATTACAACGTAAATGGTCGACAATTGAAAAAGAAGCGTTGGGTATTTATTATTGTGTTATACGTATGAAATTATATTTATTAGGTCATGAATTCATTATCCAAACGGATCATTGTCCATTACGTGATATGCATAACAAATCATCGAACAATCGTCGAGTTGATCGTATATCATTAGTGTTACAACAATTTAATATTAAAGAAATTCGCCATATTGCTGGTAAATGTAATTGCATGGCTGATTATTTAACTAGGTATCCTCATCAAATTGAAGAAGATGATGAATTCTTAGATTCAGCATTTGGACACATTCCCAATATTTATTCTCAATCTGTTGATGAAAAATTAAAAGATAAATTACCAACTAAATTGCCTATTATTAGTGCTGTTACGACCAGAGCTCAAGCTAAAGCACAAGTTAAACCAATACATTCAAATGAACAACAAATGTTATCTGATAATTTATCAGTATCCGATGATCAACCTCAAGAAGGGGAAGGTCATGCATTTGATATTTCACTTATTGGGGAAGCTCAAAAACAAGATAAATTATATCAAGAAAAAATTTTAGAGATTAATAAAAATAAACCAAACTGCTCTTATGTGTTAGAAAATGATATCTTATATAAATTAATGAAGCGTGGAGCAATTAATAAAAAATTAATTTATGTACCATCTTCAATGTTAAAGCAATTATTAGCAGTTTATCATGATGCCCCATGGTCTGCTCATTTTGGTTTTCGAAGAACTTATTTTAAAGTGAAGGATAATTATTGGTGGCCAGATATGAAAACCAGTATTCGAAATTACATTCAAAGTTGTTTAAAATGTCAAAAATTTAATATCGCTCGAAATAAATTACCAGGTTTATTACATCCTATTGAACCACCAAGTGGTCCTTTTCAATTAATTGGAATCGATTATTCCGGTCCATTCCCTATTACTTCTCAAGGTAATAAATATGTTTTAGCAATTACAGATTATTTTACCAAATGGGTTATTGCAATTCCCTTATCCGAACAAACTGCAAAAACAACGGCTGAAGCTTTATATGAACACTATATAACCATTTATGGTATTCCATCTAGAATATTGTCTGATCAAGGATCGCATTTCAATAATCAGCTAATTGCAGCATTTACGGCAATCCTTGGATGTCATCATATTAAATCAACGACTTATCATCCCCAAACAAATGGTGCAATAGAAAGATTTAATTCAACATTTGAACGACAATTAGCAAAATTAACTAATAACTGTATTAGTGATTGGGATGAACATTTAAAATCCATTGTATTTGCTTATAATACAGGACAACATGTAACAACAAAATTTACGCCTTATGAATTACAATTTGGAAGACAACCACACTTGCCACCAGAAAAACCATTAACAAATTATAAATTTTCGAAACCAAATGATTATTTATTTCATCTTCGCAAAACATTAAATATCTATCGACAACATGCAATAAATAATATTGTTAACAATCAAAAAAATTATAAACAATTTTATGATTATAATCGTCCAGAAAAACATTACTCCATTGGTGACCAGGTGCTTAAACGAATTCCAATTCCACCTTCTAAATTAGGTGAACTTTATTCAAATCCAATGATTGTAATAAAAGAGGAACATCCAACATATTGGATTAAAGATCCTGATATTGAAAAAACGTATCAAGTACATATTTCACAATTACGTATGTTTAACTTTAATCGTTCATCATTCTAATAGTTATATTTTATTGTTACATTATGATTGTTACGTCATCTATTCAAGGTTGTTAAACATCCTGACTATTCAGTTTCTTTGGATAATCTTTGGATCGAATTGTTATATTATTATTGGTTATTTATCTATTCTGTTGTTACTTGTTTACATTTTTTTTCATTTCATTTAACTTTATTGTTATCTTTATTTGTTTCCCGTTTTTTTTTCTTTTATTTAGTCTCTTTGGTCGTTTTATCATGTCAAATGCTCAACCTTCATCAACAAATTCCTATGTTACTGATCGTTTTACTAAAAAAGATGACAAAGAACATCGTTATGAACAAATTTTTCCACCATATCATCCAAATAAACCATATGTGCTTCATTTTGTTAATTCATTAATAACTGAACAAGAATTAAAACATTTATGTACCGTTATAAATAATACAATGGATTTCATATTCGATACGGAATCTGATTATCACACTAAAATGCCCGCACTTATCCAAATTTTAATAGTACAGCCAGATCCACAACCATCTTTACTGTTACTTATTGAAACAAATCATCTACCGAATTCATCATCTTCACTTTTTCTTGGAATTCAACATTTATTACATGCTATTACTCGCACCGGAACATATCTATATGCTTGGGGATCCTTATTGGATGAACTTGAACGATTTAAAATCTATCAGTTCTTTTCTATGTCTATTTCATCGCATATAATTAATGTTCAACGTGTATTTACAGGATGGTTTAATGAGTATCTAAATGAACAATCTCGTAATAATAATAATAACACAACTGCTGATGATAATTCGCTCGTTCTTAAAGCACCTGAATTTGATCCAGAATTGTTTTTACCACCAGCAATGATAAATCGTCTTAAAGTTATGAATAATCAATTATGGAGTTTGCAGGACGCCATTGCATACCTCTTCTATCAATATCTTTCAAAACGAGATACATTAAGATCATGGTCTATTGATTTAGATAAAAGACTATCATCTTGTAACAAGAATTTTTCATTAAATTATCGACGACGTTTAATCACCTACGCATCATTCGATTGTTTATCATTAATGAACATTATGTTATTTATGCATGAGAATTATTTATCAAATTGCCCTGTTAATGATCAACCTATTGAATCTCTAGGAAAGTATTTTTTTTATTTAAGTTCAAAATTTTCTTCTGTTTCTCCAGCACGTGTAAAAAGTCGACCGGTGGTTGAAATACTACTAAGTGATGAAAGTGATGATTCGATGACTGTTCATGATTTAAATGAACGTCATCAGATTCCTTTCGAAACTCCAGTTAACCAACAGCCTTCTACTATTATTCATCAACATCATGAAAGCGACCAAATTTATAATTTTAATGTAACTTATCAAGTATCTGATGAATCACGTAGTTTTAATCAACATTATCATATTACTGAATATTATGAAATAACTGATTTAACTCCATCAGATACTCAATGTTTAACAACTGCCCAAGCATCAACTGATCATCAACTATTCAATGAAATTAATGTACATGATCAAATCGACAACCATTTTAACCCCAATGACAATCATCAGGATATGGAACCAAATCATGATCCTCAAGTTACTAATCTTAATAATAATGATGTACCTCCATTAATTCAAACAAAAAGAAAAAGACGATCATCAGCCTCACAAAAACGAAGGAATCAACGATCCAGTTTACGTCACAGAAAAAATCGATATAATTTTGGGATTAGTCGAACTGTCAACACCACCATTACCAACGTGAAAAGAATCTTACGTTCACATGCCGTTCCATATCAAAACGTCAATATTGTTAAATCAAAACTTTATATTGGCCTCAAATCAAAAGATCTGGAACAGTATTTTGAACAGTTGTTGCCATTAGATATTTTTTTGTAACTTTTCGTGTTTTTTTTGTTTTTTTGTTTTCTTTTTTTTCTGTCCTTTTTTTTTTCTTTTTGGTTTCTCACTCACTATCGTTCGTTTTTTGTGTGGGGGGAGGTGTTAGGATCTGCCATCTATACAATATAGATGGACGATCCTCCCTCCCATACATTATATATGATATATAATGTGATATAAGATACAGATAAAATCATCATCAGAAAAATCCGGTTGTTTTTTTTGTTTTTTTTCTCTTCTTGTTTTTTTACAGTTGTAGTTGTTACTGTGTTTATTATAATTTAGGTTCTCGTTCTATTATTTTCAAATAAAGAGAGCACGGATCCTAACATGTACTTAAACATCTCAAGTTTAAAAGATCTTTTGCTGAAAAATACTCAAAAATTTGTAGCCAAACTTCCGACGGAAGTTTCATAAAAGGTGAATCTTTTGAAACAGTTACATTGTTTTTATCATCAGCCTAAAATGAATCATTTGAATATCCTAATTCTAAATTATTCTTTAGCAAAAAAAAAACTTAGCAATATAAATGCATCTTACTTGATATAAATTTCTCAGCTTTTCGAGAAAGTATAATGGTTGAAGGTGCAGCTTTTCTTTATCTTCAGAGCCATGATTCTTATTTACTCTGAAATCTCGCGATTTATTGACTTTCCTTAGCTTTGCAATATCGTTTTTTATTGCTGAAATTCATGAATCCAACTCTTCTGACTATCTTAGTGGTTTCAATGTTTTTGATTGGTAATCGTCATTTTCCGGAAAACCTTGAGATGAGTTTGAATAAGATGTCAATATATTCGAATGACGCGTTAACTAAATATTAAAATAAAAGCAAAATAAAAGATTTTCAAATATATCTATCAATTTTTCCTAATGAAAATATATTAATAAATACGAGTTTACAACTTACTTGTCGTCTATTATCTTTGTCGGAGTCACTTCCTTCATTTTCATCGAACTCGCCTTCTCCATCTCCGTCAGACTAGCTTTCTCCACTTTCGTCAGATTTTTTTTTCTTCTGAGCATTGATCTAATATGTTTTGCAGCTTTTCTTTTGTATTAGTCAGAATCGTTAACAGATAATCAGCAACTTGATCTTTTGAAGTCTATTTAAATACAAAATGGAATAGTCATAAAAGAATCGCATTTATCAATCATATAGCTTTATGAAAATGTGATACTCACCATTTCAATGCCTTGTTCATCTACGTATTATATAGAAATTGAATTTTGGTTGTCATTATAAAAAGAATCCTGGTTCGAAGCATCATACAAATTGAACATTTAAGGATCAAAAACGTTTTCATTTTCTTTTGAAGAAAGAGACATTTTACTGTTTGTTGCTGATAACAATATCGTAATGTCTGTTTTTCAGATGTTATTACTTAGCTATATGTTGACTCATCAATATTTGCATTAATAATGACGAATTAAAGATAGATCATTTTTTTTATCTGATTAACATGAAAGATCTGACAAAAAGAATCTGATAAAAGTGATTTGAGAACTGACGTCTTGTAAAAAAGCTTCAGATTATTATATTTTCAAAATTGAACTAGATGTCAAACTATACCGATATATAAAAGGATTATTATCATTGGTTTGAATTATTAAGCGTTCTTTTGTCTTTAGCTTTTTTCGTTCTTCCTTTTGATAAACAGGCGTTAAGAAACTGTCAGTATGGAATCGATTTTATTTTTCAAGAAATGAAATTTGATGCTTATCAAAGTAAATGTATTGAAGTCTTTTTTTTTCGAATAAATACGAAGTATTTGGGTATAGTCACGTGTTCATAGATTTATATGGATTAACACGAACTTTTCTAAACAAAGAAATGACTTAATGATGAACATAGTATCATCCAAAGGATCCAGCGATTTGTTTTTTACTCAAGAAAACCAAATGATTATTTTCGATTAAGTCGAGCCATACAGATTGCCCTGGAATTTCATGCGCAATCAGAGGCTGTGTTAGGATTCTAAAATTGAGAGGCAAATGTGGTGTGGATGTTCAAGAAATTATCTCACAATAATGAGAGCTCGAAAAGTCTTGCTAATTTTACTGTGCAGTACCGCATAATTTTCAACTGCTCGGTTGGTGGATGAATATGAAATCGTTTTATCATTTTCACGATTCTAATGATGCTACTCAATTACTGAACCAAGGATGAGCAGATGTCTAATTCAAGTTAGATGATCAATGAAAATCTCGAAACAAAGAAGGAACCTAATAGCCAAAAATGAAAAGAAACTATTTGAATTACGAATAATAATTCAGATATAATTGTCCAACAACTGAAACAAAAGAGCAGAAAAGGATTTTATTAGAACGATAAATTATAATTGAGATACAGCTGGACTATATAGTGTTCTCGTGATCTCCTTAGCTGTTGTCTGCCGTATGTACTTCCATGCATGCTAGCGGTCGCTTGGCTCCCTCAGCTATTACTGCGCGGTGTGTATGTTTTTTCTGCTTTCATTCTCACTCAAATTCTAACCGCTGGATGTGGGTGTGGGTGTCTTCTCTTCAGCAACATACCCACAGCCTATACTCACACCCACGCCCATACTTGACACTTATAATCTCTGTTTCAGAGAAAATAGGATATGAGAAGTGAAATATTTCATCGAAGCAACTGTATTGATAAGTTGAGAAGTCACTCGGTATTGCACATTCATGTTTAAGTACAGTATAATTCAACAGAAGACATGATGTATTGCTAAAAGCATTTCGAATAGGTACATAGGAAGATGCTGAGCTCCAACCTCAACAAATGCACGGAATAAGTAGAATTACTGTAAGGAGACATGTAACGTTTACAATTAGCTCAGTGACTGTGTAGACACATGATTTGCCCATGTTCTTAATTGTTTGAATCTTGAATGTCTTGGTTGGTTGAAACTTTATAAATCTGATTACTTGGTTTTTTCCTGTATAGATGATGTCAGTACTCGATGTATGACTCAGCTAAATTCTTATCAGTTGTGTCATTGACATGATTCACATTCACCTATATTCACCTCATAAAAGCGTTAATATGTTCGACGAAGACCACACAAAATCGTGACATCTTGGGTTTGAGTGAGTGTGGACAATCTCTTGAGTTGCACATACAACCACAGTCCAGAATTCGTACCGACACCTACACACACCCACAATTCTATCACAGAAATGGTAGCAAAGTATTCGGCTGATATATTGAAAAAGGAATCAGATGATATTGTTATCCAAGCAAGCTGCTTGTGTTCATCTTGATATTAATACAGACGGCAGTGGCAGTAAAATTATTCGGGAGTGCAATCAAAATGGAAGAAGCACCTCATCTGACTGATATATTAAAAGACAACAACTTAATAATCAAATACACATTTTTTTACTAATTGCTATTGATCAAAATTTCTGCTTTATCACAGATACTCACCATCCTTTGCGTTAGAACCAATAAAATTAGATTAGTCGAATCAAAAAAGCCTGCTGATTAGGTACAAGCAATCAAAGCGATTTTTTTCACTTGGAACATCTTCCACTTTAATTCTTTGTTTTTCCAACAGACTCTGGCTGAAATTACGCTAGTTCGAAAAGACTTCTACGCTGGTAGAAATTTTGGAGAAAAAAAAGGTGAATGCAGAAATGACATTGAAGCTGACGAGGTATAACGCTCGGTTGAAGCACTAGGTGGCACTGAGAGAAATATTCGCTTCTTCGCTGGGATTTCTTTTAAAAATTTGAACGCTTTTTTTACTCAGCGAGTCACTTTATTTGGTCTGTCTGGAAATAATATCATGAGTGGTTGGATGAAACATTTAACTGATGCATCACAAAAGAATGTGGGTTTTAGTTTGGCTTTGAGTATGATTAGATAACCACACACCCACACCCTCATTCAATCTGGCCTCCTTTTTTTTTTTATTATTATCAACTTCGAAACTTTTCTATTTGTTTAAATTACACAAAACACAAGAAATACATCATGAAGAAATGAATGAGAATGTCTTCAGATGCATGAGCACATATAATACATAAAATAAAATACTGAATTACTGTAATATATAGCTACATACATAGTGATGAAAAGAGAAAGACAAGAAGAACATACTAATCTACTTAGAAAAATAATCAAAGTGTTTCTACAAATAATATAAAACAAAAAGAAATATAAGATATATGAAATTTATAAATTAAAAAACTCATTTGAAACATCACTGTAAAGAACCCAGCCAACAATATAAGCAAGTTTATGAGGATATTGACAAAGTATTAGACTTGGTTAATCTCATGGATTCGTAACAATGGTTCTAGTTTAACACTGTAATGACAGGTAAGTATCTAGTCTTTCACATTATGAAAGAAAATTGAATTAAATCTCAAAAATTTATCCTGAATGAAACATGCCATTGCATAGTATCAAGCAATAATAGTTTCAGTTCAGTTGATGATACTTACTGTAAGAATTCGATTGTGTGTTATCAGAGATAGAATCGGCTCGGCTGAAAATGATCGATATACTTTTTTAATTTGAGTTCAACGGTTTTGTCAGTGAAATGTAGCAGTGCTGTCAGATGAGCGTATCTAAAATGCGAAAAATTCTAAAATTTGTTTGTTGAAATTCGAAGAAAATTCAGAAAGGCTTTCGATGGTCGAGTTGAATCATTTAAATCACCATTTTCTTAACTAGATTATTATCAACGGATTGCAACTCATAAAAATATATACATAATGATATTAAGGCGATGGATGTGAATTCACACACATCACGTTGTTCATTCATTTCACAGTTATTGAATAAACAAGAAGCGGAAATTATATGCTGAGAATATAGACAAAATAGCTGATGCAAAAAGAAATAAAAATCAAATTAAAAATTGATTACAATGATACTATTTTAATTTGATTTTCCAAACTCAAAGACATATGTCATTTGATTTTAACATTGATTGTTCTATGTGAATCAGTTATCTGTAATTAATTCAACTTTGATAATCAACTAAAAGAGATAGAAAAATATTGATCTCAAATGAAATCAATCTGTAAAATGACCGCCTTCTCTTTCCTGACCCGAATTTTGCTGCTTCTTCATTGTTCATTTTTCATGTTGGGTATGTCAATTTAAATGCCTTCTATCTGACAAGCAAGCATAATTTAAGAAGACAAAACGATGTCTTTATATGTCAAAAATTCGAAAAAAGAAAACTCAGTTTCATGATAGGAAAGTCAAAAAATGCATCATTCTTTGCGTTTTTCTTAAAACCAAATTTTTACAGGAAAACTTAAAGTTTTCTCCCTTTTTCTCTCTCACCGCTCAATTGGTCCGATTTGAAGTTTCTTTTAATATTCTTGATCGAATTAGGATGTCCTTTTTTCTTCTTTCTGAATAATATTCTCCCTATGAAATTGGACAGCCTTTCAAAAGTTAGCACCATTGAAAAAACACGTTTTTTGATAGTGCTTTCGATATTTTGACTCCCCCTGAGTACTAGCAATGATATGTCTGAAAGAAAAAAAAGCTGCAGCAAAGAAAAATGAAATAGAAATTTTTTTTTGGGGGGGGGGCTTCCAGCCATTTTTGACTTTTGCGATCTTATACTTCCCTAAAGAAAGCCTTTGGTGATGTCGAGTCTATGACCACTTTTGATCTGTTCATTGAGATCTATCTGTTCTAAAAGTTTCATAGTTTGTTGTCCGACTATTTTTGAAAATCTCCGAAAAGGAGGAGAGAGAGAGCCTCCCCTTACATAAGAAAGTATTAAAAACATTATCAATGTTATTTGATAATGCAGAAATTGATACCGAAGAATATTCATAAGAAATGTCTTTCTTGGTCGCAATAGATCTAAAAAATAAAACATGAATTCATTATTTATATTTATTTCAAAATTACGCCAGCTCGTATTTGAATTGAAAATATAATAATTTTTTTTCACATATTCTTTGTATTTTTGCATTAAAGAAGCATAAAAAGATCTAAATATTCTTCTACTTAAAAGTAAATTCTTAGAAAATGAATTCGAGATTTAGTATATTCGATATTTCCGGATTTTATCTCTTTGACACTTTTACTCTTTGATGTGTTGCCGCTTTCCTTTCAAATGTTGAATCTTCATAAGTATGTAAAAAAAATCATTCAAAAAGAGAGTTCGAATATTGTGACGTATTCACCGGTCAAACATTCATCGCTGTAAGCACTCGCTCTCTGTATCATCATTGACTTTTTTATGGTCTTCTTTTTCTCTCTTCCGCACGCCCATATATATGTCATTGGTCGCGTATTATTCATCAGTAGAGATCTGCGTCACCAAGTTTTTTAGTCACGATCACGGAAATTTTTTGAGGCTAGTCAAAGATCACGGTCACGATCATATCTGTGAGGAAATTATGGGTTCTGTAACAGTTACAGTCATAGACATTAAAATATGTTCGTAAATAACGACCCAGGATGAAAATTACGGAGAGTTTCTCTCAGAAAAACACCGGAAATCGCTGGAGTAGGGAGAAGTATTTGAACCGAAAACTTTCTGGACTCTTCCGAAAGATTTCGATCTGCTTCCCTGCACTTTTTAGCAACAGCTGACCGGAAAACTTCGGACCGGAAGACTCCTTTCAATATTTCTACGATTTTCCAGGTTTTTCTGCAGGATACAGTGACTTTTCAAATATTTCGTGCCGATTTCTGTGGTATCCGCCCATCGAAATGATTGATTCGAAGTCTACTAATGATTATTGCAATGAAAGATTTTTGATAAAACAAGATTGGTTTATAAAAATCGATTTAAATCTTATGATATTCGTTTTTGATATTCATAAAGAACTGCGTGATCCAGGTTTTTTAGTCACGGTCACGGCCACATGTGACCGTGACCGTGACCATTTTGCAGATCTCTATTCGTCAGACATTCTTTGGTCATTTTCCACTGCTCTTCTCTCTTCCCTACGCTTTTGTTAAATTTCTTTCATCAATAGAAGAAATAAGAAACCAGACAAGCTTGATAAATATTCCGCATAGTGGAGTAAAATTTGATTCCTCTTTTAAGGTGTTATATAATTTAATGCAATTAAATTTTTGCAGAAAAAAAAATCAAAAACAGTAGGGTATTTGTATTAGAATTCTTTGAGTCTATTTTCAATCCTACTTTCGTATCTATTGAAAAGTGCCTCAGAGAAGACTAAAATTCTGAATTTCTGCATCTTTCAATATGCTCTTTCATGAGTGAATTTTGTTCGGAAAATCATACGATGAACCATCTATATCTACAGGCTAGTAGTTGAACTATTTTATTCGGTAAAACAAAGGACAATAACATTATGCGTTGGATTCTCTTTCTTTCCTACGTATGTGTTTGATAGTTTGTCAATTATTGTAAACATTTCGTCCATAGTGATAAGGATCATATTTCAGCGAATATTGCAGGTATAAACAATCATTGTTTTTCAGAAATGCCCGAAATAGGTTCATGTACTGATATAACATGTAATGATGAAATAAAAGAATTATATGAATGTCATTGTTGTTTGCGTCTTGTTTGTTTAAATCATTTAATTCAACATGTCGAAATAACAAAACAAAATAAACAACGATTAAATAGTGTTCGTGATGAATTAAATACAGTTATAACGGCACTTACACTAATTGTTGAAAAAAAGCTATTGACAATTGGGCCGCGAACAAAATTTGATTGAACAAGCAAAAAGATTTCTTGATGTACCAAATACTTCAATTGATGAAATAAAAAATATTTTTGAACAAGTTAATCAAGCCATTTGTTTTAATTTTAGAAATGACGATAAGAGTCGAACCTTCATTATCAGAAACTAAAAATTTTTTGTGTGTTTCTAAATGTAATAAGGAAAATATAAATTCAAATGGTGAATTGAAATTTTTCTATTATTGAATTTAAATTGAATTTTTATAGATCAATCACCATTGAGAAATACTCGTTCAAAATCAAAGTATTTCATTTCTACGTCATGTATTTTGTTTTAGTTTTTTTTTCTTTTTATTAGATCTCTTATTTGTTTGGATTCATCAATAGATACAGATATCCAACTACGAAACTACTCGAATTTATTTCTTACCTTTGGAGATTATATTGAGCTCACAAAGAAATCTTGGTCAGAGTAGAAAAGCTCAAAAAGATTCCCAGCGATGAATCGAGTTCTCATCATTTTAATGAATTTTCGACCTATTTCAGGTATTCACTGAAAATTCAACTAATAGAATTTCGACTTGTAATATTGTCGTAGATAGCCTCAGAATAGCTTCAAGTAAACTCGATATTTGTGATAGAAAAGTCTTTGTTGGAAATTCAATATCTTGATAGAACTTTAAGAATATTCACGAACTTATGTGATCTGTCTACGGATGAAATTACAGGTCGAAAATTCACTGAAACAGCCACCACTCGATTTATGAACACAAAGCCTTTTACATTTTTCTAGTCATGCTGAGACAATTTTATTCATTCAATATAAGTTCGTGTAGTTCTTTTGTAGGACAGAAGAATTTCATTGCTTAATCTTTTTTTTGTTTAATTCTAGTGGAAGAATTTGCAATCCCAGAAAATACATTAAAGTTTTTCTTAACTTTTACAGGCATAATAAACGTGATTGATTTAAGATGATAGATGTTCAATGTTTATCGATCATGACTCTATTGATATATTATCAATTGAGTAAGTTTTGTATTTTCTATTAAAAAAGATCCAAAAGTCTTTGCATATTTTTCTTTGTTTTTAGTGAAACAATAAAATCTGTTAAAGTAAAACAATTATATCTATAGAAGATTCGATAAAGTCAATTTTTGAACTAAAACATCAAATATTTTTTTTTTCGTATCTAAATTTTTCATTAAACGTCGCCGTATAACTTCGAAATAGACGTCTCTCGCTCTAATTTGTTCAAAATTGAATAGAATACATTCTTATTTTGTTTTATGTTTTATTTTCCAAGTTCTACATCAGTGAACCGTTTCTTACTCGATTGTATTAATAGATGCCATTCTATAAAATATTGAGTTGTATTCCATTTTAGGATATTAAACTTATCAATTGTACCTATCAAAACAACAGTATAATGTTTGATATGAGAAATTTTTCTTCCTGTTCAAACATATCGAGTTGCGATCTTCGCCAATATTTGCTTCGTTCTCATATTTTATCTACTGAAGATGCGAATAGTCTATGTATGTCATGTATTTATTTTGTCAGAGTGAAAATACAAAAAATGATGCTCGTCGGAATGGATCATGTACCATACGCAGATATATAAGGATAACTGATTGAAAGTCTCGTATTTTATATTTTTGACCAAGAATCTTCATTATTGACAACATTTTGATTGAAGAGTAAGTGAAACTTCGTTAAAGCATTTTTAATTTTGTCTTCCTGTTGAAATAGATTGATTAAAAGTACAATATTCAGCTATTTTTGCTTATGATCTATGATCAATTTCAGCCGAATCGATGCTGATGATTTTTAGTATTTCTAGTCCGGCAGTGAAAATACGTGATATAGAGAGCAGATAAACTAAGAAAATGGGGCTACATTTTGGTGAAAAATGCAACTCAATCTATTGAAAACATCTTGATATAGTAGAAAAAGAAGGCGATCAGCTCGGTTCAAATAATTCATTTTTAGTGTCAGACAAACGATGCTTTCTCCTGATTGGAGTACTTCTAGTTATTTCTTCTTGCAGATTTGTGTTTGAAAGAATCGTGTGTATATTATTTTTCAGTATATGTACTCTCACTTGCATATAAAAATGATGTTTCGAAATGCTTAACATATTGACAATTAAGATACTTGATTCAAAACTTTTCTGTGGGTTAAGTTAGAAAAGGAATCCTAGCAGTTGATAAAATAAAACTGTTGTATGTGATGCCTATTATTTAAATAAAAAGACTTGTGAATCAACGAAATTCTAAAACAGCAGTTATAACTTTGTATTTTTCTTTTTCTAATGTATGAAATATCTTTATTTTACAGATTTGTTCTTGAAATTTTGACAAATTGCGACTTCAAGAGAGATTGTATTTTCAAGTTTCATGCTATTTCTCATAGAAAAACATTAGTTTTAAGTCAAATACTAAACCCAATAACTTTTCATGGATATCCTATTTCTATCAGATGCATTTCATTCGTTCGTGAGGCAACTTCGCTAAATTAAAACACGTGTATCTTCCACTAATCTTTATGTGTTACGTGTATGCTAAGTTACTCTAAATATTCTACAATAATCAGTATGAAGAATCCTTTTTCAGACGAGCTATCAGCAAAAAAACTAGCATTAGTTAGTGACTTTATAGAAAAAACAAAATCGACTTTCACTTCGTGTATTTCAGTTTTAAAAGACTACAAATTGAAATACTATGGAAACTTTTTTCGGAGCATTTCTAGATATTTCAACAGAATCGATTTATTTTTCGTTAACGAGGTGATCTTGTACGCATATACATTGTTTTAGAAGAAGGTTTTTAAAGGTCGATCTTACTGGAAATTTCACTTTAGATACAATTCGTTCCATAGCGTTAATTCTGAAATTTTCGAATTTTTTTTCTATGGTTGCAGATATACCAGGTGTCCCAAAATGTTTGCATATTTTTTTATTTTGCATATATATCAGCATAGATAAATGACAAAAAGCTTGATTTTTTTAAAAAGATGCACCGTGAGAAGCTCTACAAAAAAATGCCGGAACAAATCCCTACTAATATGTTCTGATGATTTTTCCTATAGTCAAAATGAAACATCTACATATTAGTACTGCATCCCACCATATTTAAAATAGTAGACAGGTTTGAAAGACCTTTTTCACTTTACAAATATCTCAACTTCAGAAAAAGAGTACTTCTTGATTTCTTTTTCAAAAGATGCGCCGTCGAAAGCTCTACAAAAGGTGTATGAGAAAATTCCTACTGCGAAATAGAAAAGGGTTCCAAACATTTTTATTATTTCAAATACCATGGGAAGTAGCACTAATATGTAGATGTTTCATTTTGACTATAGGAAAAATCATCAGAACATATTAGTAGGGATTTGTTCCGGCATTTTTTGTAGAGCTTTTCACGGTACATGTTTAGAAAAAAAATCAAGCTTTTTATCATTTATCCATGCTGAGATATATGCAAAATAAAAAGTGTGCAAACATTTTTGGGACACCTGGGATTTGCTTACTACCAATTTAATTGACTGATTAATTTCAATTAATAGTTCTCCACAGATATTTAAACATTCATTTTTTCAGGATCAAAATGTGAATGAAGAACAACATAAGGAAAAACGAATCACAACTTTCTCTGGTCAATGTCCATTAACAATTGATGGTGCATATGGTTTTACTCAAGCAAAACATTCTATTAAATTTTGTGAGCATATAGAAACCATCGAATCATATTATATAACCATTTCATGGAAAAGCATAGATTAAAACGATGTTATGCTCGTTGTTTGGCACAAGCTGTTATCAATAATCAAGATCCTAGGATAACAAAAATTAGTTGATGAAAATGACGATGTAATTGATCATTTATATAGAGTCCCATATCTATTTACTAACGAACGAATTAATTTTCCAGGGTGTGATCAACCAATTGAATCAAATGTATCATGTCGACATCATAAAATTGTATTTAGTGCATTAAAATCTCATTTTCGACATTATCATCATGTTTCTGATGCATTCGCACAAGATTTATTTGATTGTTTCGAAGAAATTCGAAATAAAAATAATGCTACTTCGGCCTAATCAACTCAATCAGCATGATTATGGAAAATGAAAATCTGGAAATTGTTTCTGTTGACAGGGTGGGTGTGGGTGTGGGTGTGGGTGTGGGAGTATGTGAATGTGAGTGTCGGTGTTGGTAGTCTAATCTATTACACCCACACCCACACCCCACTTGTCAATCGACCGTTGCTGTCGACGTGTTTCTTGCATTCACCAGTTAGCCTCGGCCATGCTGAGGTTGCAGGATAGACGAAGTTTGCTATTTGTTCAATGAAAAACTAGCAAGTAAAAATTGTATGAATGGACTTACCAGGTGGCACGAACGGCTGAGTAAGCACCATACCAGGTGTATCTTAATGCTTTTGAAAAACAAATAAGAAAATTCACTGCGATGTGTAACGTAAACTAGGTACTTACATCCAGTTGGAAACAGTTGATAATACATGAAATAATTGAATGTCATTGTTCTTCGTCAAAAAGGTTTATCGTTCGCGCAAATGATTACCTATTCCAATACCATAACATGAAATAAAGTGAAAGTCTCGTGACATTGCTCCGAAGCAGCGAACAATGTGAAACTAATTATTTTAGATCCTGAAGGTGTGAGTAGATGAAGAACTTATTTTTACACCTCACCCTCAAGATAGTGATTATCATACATTATGCACTAACGACTGCCTTAGCGATGTCGATGACAACACAATGATCATGCGAAGTATGTCCAAATGATCAGAAAGACGAATGCTCTGTGTTTATTCAGCACTGAGATGAAGTACTTGGCTAAATAAATTTTCTGGTACTTCTTATTTCCATCTGACGCTTATCTTGACTCATATTCGGAAACCGGTTTGACATTTTTGGACTGAACCGACTGATAACCTTCCGGTTCAAACTATCTAGACTTGGTGGACAAAATACGGACAAAAAAGTGGCTGGTCACAATTCTTAACTTGACTGGC